TTTCTCTCTCTCTCTCTCTCTCAGCCCCTGTTTCTATATAAACACCCGACGACATTTCGGAGACAAAATAAATATAATAAATAAAACAATAAATAAAAAACAAGAACAAATTTTACAGTAGTTATTCTTTTCTTTATTTCATGCATCTAATCTTATGCCACTATGGTATCTGGAGAGTCGACCTGTGACAAGAGTATAAGAATTAGCAGTTGGCTGGAACGTTGAAGATTGTTGGGTCGCTCACTCCCAGTTTGGGGTTGGCGAAGAGGGTCAGCCTTTGCTCACCGTTGACTGAAACAGAGACAAAACGAGACGTGTCCATCGTTACATTGTTGCCCGTGGTGTAGGTGGCTTGGAGAACGTTTGCAGGTGCAGTTAAAAAAGGGAATGGCAACTATACTACTACTACTACTACTACTACTACTACTACTACTACTACTACTACTACTACTTTACTTACTTACTTGACTTACTAGCCTTAGTCATTGAAATTCAATGATTTCCCGTTGCCTACTGCTGGCAGCGTAAACTAGGTGTGTCAAAACGAAATCTATCTTAGCATTAATATTGTAGAATGTTGTCACTAACTTGTTACACACCAACTTCAAATAGATTGCGAAGCGCATAGAGCTTGTTGTTGAGCAAGGATTTGCGCTATACAAATGCTATCTATTATCTATTATTAAATCACTCTAGTTCCAACTCACAAAAGTCTCTCCTGAGAAGAGGCAGGCTGTAAGTGCTCTCCCTGCTCAACAAGATCCCTGCGGAGACGTTAGCGCCGACATTAATCTCGTATAGGTCAGCGATGTAACTGACAGAGCCCAAACCAGCCTCGATTTGGGTCTGGAACACGGCGGCACCTGGAGATAGGAAGAACACGCATGGTAATTACGTTGGCATCAGTTGGAAACCTCATGCTCTTCTTTTATTTTCTTCGTACTCTGTATCTTTTACGTTCTCTTTTTTCTTTCTTTTTCTTTTACTCTTTTGCTTTCTCTATCTCCTCCCTCTCTCTTTCACTCTCTCTCCCTCTCTCTCCCCTCTCTCTCTTGCTCTCGATCACTCTCTTTTTGTCTCTCTCTCCATCTCTCTCGCTCCCGCTTAATCTCTTTTTGTCTCTCTCTCTTTCTCTCTTTTTCTCTTTCTCTCACGCTCTTTCCCCTGAAAACGCGGCACTCCTAAAATATAGTATTACCTATGTCTATCCATTATAATATACCCACGTATATGATATTATTACCATTATTATAACCATATCTCCATTTATCCAAACGTGAGTTAGTCAGCAGTATATCCATTTTATGCCAAACAGACTTTGGAGCAAATCTCATCTTAGATCATTGCATAGTCCGCAAAGAAAACGTCCAACAAAAAAAAGTGCGACAACTCACTGGGGAGACACTGGAACCACCTTGAGAAGAGTCCCAGGGGGAATTTCGTGCAGGTGTCTTGAGCATCGAAGGCGTAGCCTTGGTTCTGTGGGAGATAGAAATACACAAAGCGTAGTCTTTAGTAATAATACTATTCTAGAGAAACATTCTCCGGAACACGCCTGTAGGAAGGTGAGTTGTAGCGTGCATGTGCATGAAAGTGTCAGTTGTGTTATTATAAGAATTGTCTATGCATATGCGTGTGATAATGTATTATGTTAGTGCCTTTTCAACTAAGCTTATATAAATTATAATATTTTATAAAGTTTTTCCCGCATCCGATCCGCACATTGGGGATTGCATTGTTAGTGAGACAGCTTCCTGGGCCTTTGGCATATTGTGGTAGGGTGGCCAGTTTCTTTCCATGGCGCCTTTACTTCCCCAACTCGAAGTCAGGTACCCATTACGGCTGGGTGGTCAGGAGGGGGTGAAAATAATCCGTGTCCGAATCGAGGCTCGAACCCAAACTTTCCACTTCGGAGACGAGCGCACTAACTGCTCCGCTACCTCACCCTCTCATACACATGTAAGTCTATGTAAGAAAATAGCAGTTTTGATATGTAAGCTGAATTAGACATCAGTACAGTGTGCATGAAATTAAATAATTATGAATTTAAAGCTTACCAGGGGGCTCTCATGGCCTAGAGGTTAAGGTTTTTGGTCTCTCATTCAAAGGTCCCGGGTTCGAATCCGAGTAGCGACCGAAACATTTTCTTCTCCAAAATTGTCTCCTTTCACCTCTTTTCCTGCTCTCTAGCAATGTCCCGTCGTCTGCTTTCGTTTCCACTTTTTGCCCCCAAACTTTCACCTTCTTTGCGCCCTTTTCTGGGCTCCTGACTCTTTCTGCAGCCTTGCTACTGCTACTCCTTGGCTCCTTACTGCTCTCTTTCAGCCACACTCCTGATCTTCTGGTAGGAAAGACCTACACCTTGTAAAAAATCTGGGAGGACCCATGTGCAAGTTGCGCACGTTAAAGTACCTCTATAAATACATTATTGAGGGTCATCTTCAATAGACTCAGGGGGTTCTTCATCATCCCAAAGCTTCTCATCACTTGAAACGTTTGCAATTTCTTCGTCAGATCTGTATTCTGAAGCCAATATTTGCGTTTTTCTCTGGACAGTATAAGCGGCAATGTTTAAGGAATTCAAAATGGCAGACCGAAAGGAAGATAAGCGCTATGTATATTTCGCTTGACGTTGTAGTTAGAAAAAAAGGCATTCTTTTTTAATAGGTTTTGTTTCATTCATCAAAGAAAGTATTACCATTTTGAAAACACGCATTTTTATACCAAATAAGGCAGATTATTGTGAAAATTACCAGGCGCAACCGACCGACCACCGATGGCCGAAATCCAAAAGAAAAAACATTTGAGGGTTAACCATAGAACAAAAACCTAATGATAATATTATTTAGAAGAAAAGAGTGGGTGGTTGGCGGGTTCTCTGGTGTGGTTTGCTCCTTCTTTCCTATCAAATATCGATCATCTTTATCTCCTCTCCTTCTTTTTTATGTTTGTTACTCCTATAATCTTCGGCACTTATATGACCTTATTGTGTTGCAAGTGCCCTGACACTCTTATGAAATAAAATGAAGAAGAGAAACATCAAAATATCATTATTTTATTATTCAGTAGTAAGACAAAGGGGTATTATCCTTCAACTCCTTATTTCTGCTTTAAAATTTACAACTGATGTCTTTGATTATTCCTTTCCTTGCTCTCTTTATCTATTACTTTTTACTAAGGTAAATTGCTTTATGGGTTTTAGGTTTTTTTTAGGTAGGGTACTATAATGAATAAGAAGTAAAAAGCTGTCAGTGTTTTAGTGTCTACTTACTTTAGCAAGGTCAATGACGTATCGGTTTGTGTCGTTCTGAGCAGCAACCTTTTGCAGACCGAAGTCCATCGAGAAGTTGGCCGGTCGCTGGGGAAATCAGATGACGACAGGATAAGACAACAACAGACAAATTTGTTATATTCTCATTTTAATGGGGGAGAAAGAGGAGACAGAGAATAACACAAAACTTTGTTCTGTCGGATACAATAGATTATCTAGTAGATTTAAATAAAACGTTTGTTTGAAAAAGAAAAACAACTTCGAGAATTGAGGAGAGTTTCAAGCACAACATGGTCGCAAAACAGAAGGAAAAAACATTCCTAAACAGACAACCTTAAGACGTTAATAGGCGAGTGGTGTGCCACCTCTGTTTCACCTACTGTTGCTGACAGCTTGAATATTCAAGAGTTGTAGAACTGTTTCCATAATTTGTCAGTTTTACAAAACAACATAAAACAAAACACAACCCCCCCCACAAACCCCCCCCCCCACAAACAATAACAACAAGTAAAAAACGTTCCATCAAAACTATGAAACTGAATTTGTTCACAAAAGTATTTGCAAACCAAAGATTAAAAACTAAAGAGCTAGAATTTTAAGATAATTGATTCAATTCAGCTATTCAGGGATTTTTTTTTCAAAACTTAATTTTGGTATGGTGTTACCATTACCAACTTTGAAACAAACTAGCTGTTTATTACTTGAATGTAGAAAAAAGACTTATCTTAATCTTATGGTGTTAAAGATGTCGTAATTTATTCTGCATTTGTGAAGGGGGAATGTCAGATTTCCCGTCCTTTTGAATATTTCCAAATTGTTTCTGTCAAACTTACTTCATCGATGAGGTTGATAGCCAGGCCAGAGAGCTGATTTGGCAGGCAAACTTTGGTGGGATCAGAAACCTGCTGGCTCATCACCAGAGGGGCGAAGACACAGAGAACAGCAAGGACGTTCATGATGCCTTTGGAAAGCAGATGCAATCAAATTACTCTTTTAATTAACAAAATGGCTTGGAAACGATTGTGATTTTACCAGTATCCATAGAATATTAGATTTTATAAATTCATCTTTCAAAACAAAATCGGAAGGTTTATTAAACTTTAGAAAATGAAACATATAAGAAGACCAGCCCTCATAGAACACAATCTCTGAGTAGTTGTTGTTAAAAATTTATAACTACATTGTCCCACAAAACTGTACACAGAGCGAAGAGATTGAGATTTTATAAAGCTCGTCTACTACTGTATGAAAGTTGATTTGTTTTTTTCTTTCTTTCGGACGGGATAAATTGTGACTACCAAATTTATACGATGAATCGCCACACTTTCGTCCCTTAAACGATCACACCCAAATTATCATTTGAGTGGAATTGTGAACATGTTGTCAAGTATTCCGCTCGAATTCGCTACAAGTCAATCAACGTCAGGCTTCTTATCCACTTCCTGTAGACCACGGACTCATTGGTCAAACCAACACGCCACACACGGTGACATGTCATGAAGAAGCTCTTGACGAATCTCCACACTGAGAGAGACCAAGTAAAAAACAACAAACGGCACCACTGATACGATTCGTTTCAAATACAAACTGACAAGTATGTTAATTGTTACCACCATTAATAACTGATAAAGAAGTAATATGCATGTTTTAGTCAATATTCTTATAAAACAAAAGCGTTTATATATTAACATAGGTTTGTATTACTTACTAAAGGATCTTGAAGCTGAGCGAAGAAACTGCTGTAGGAGATTTGATGTCTATGGTCGGCAGTGGTGTCTCTTTTATAGCAAACACCTTGTGTTTTTAACTCGTTAAAAATTTACATATATTATTTTTTGGTAAATTCGAAAAAAAAAATTTGTTTGGATTAATTGACATTGCTATCGTCATCTCAAAACAATTGGTGACTTAGCAATTTCAGAAAAACTCACCTGTTAAAAATGCAATTGAGGTTTTAACAACAATAACAAAATTACATTCGCGTACGCTCAGATTGGGAGGCCAGTATGTCATGGGAAGAAACGAGTACGCGCCAGGTGGCAATTTGCTGCAAAGTTCAAGCGCCGCAAGCCTCTAGGTAGGCCGAAGAACTGAAGGACACAGTATGGGGATCTTGTTGAAAGATTTTGACTGAAACATGCATACACCCAGTTACGATCAGTTATGGGGCAGGCTTCTTTGAATCTACAGGTGAAGGCAGTAATCAGGGTTGAGTGGGATACAACTTTCCACATTGTTTGTGAGCAAAGGTTAATAGCTGAACCGCTACACCTCACACGCTGGTAGGGTCACGTGAATCACCCCAGTCAGCAGAGAATTATGAAGCACAAGAATCAGTATATTCGTTAACCGCATGATTCAACAGCGTTAAGTTCCGGGAGTCCAATCTTACAGGAGAAGCACAAGATTTTATTTCTTTATGCTCGTACCTATGAATCTGAAATTTAGATTATTATGTAGAATGATGGTATGTAACCAGATTTTAAAAATATACTTTACTTTTTTACTTTTTCATCCTCTATTGCCGTTACGCGTCGAGAGAAGATGCAGTTTTCTACGGTAGGCCAGCTCTGCGGCTCTTTCAAGTGTGATATTATGTTTTCTCAGGGTTTCCTTGACACCCTCGATCCACCTTTTGAGTGGCCTTCCTCTTCCTTTATAGCCTGAGTGCTTGGTGTTGTAGGCTCTCGATGCTGGCTGGCCAGGTGACATACGTAACGCGGGTGACCACACAATTTTGTTCTTTGTCTTTCTATGTAATGCAGGCAGTACTCAGTGTCGATAGCTGCTCTTACTTCTTCATTTCTCTGCCTGTCTCGTCTTGTGATGTTAAGGGTTTTGTGGAGACATTTCCTTTCGCCTGAAGTGATTTTATCATGGGTTTTACTTAATGTTCAAGTCTACCACTGTTAGCATAATGTTGGTATGAATATTGATGTGATAAGCTCTCTCTTTGTGTCCATGGAGATGTTTGGGTGAGATAGGAAGGGTGCGAGCTTGTAGGTGACAGCGTTGGCTTTTTGAATTCGCATGTCTTTTTTCCTCTGTCTATGGACCTGATTTCGGAAAAAAAGTGCTGCCAAGATATTTAGATTCCTTCACCTGTTTCAGTTGGTCACTATTGACTATGGTTTCGGCTCACTTTCATAACTTCTGTTTTTGCTGGGCTTATTTTCATGTTAAATTTTCGCAGCTTTTGTTCAGTTCGGTACTGTGCTTTTGGAGGCTTTGTTGGTTTGGGCTGATAAGACATTGGTCGTCTGCGAATAGAAGATTTTTAAAGGCTATCTGGGCTTTGGTTTGCATTATTGTTTCCATAACTATTATAAACAGGAGGGGGGATAGAACGCTTCTCTGTCGTACTCCAGATCTTACTTTGAACCAGTCTGTATTGCTTTCCTTCTTTCTTACTGAGTTTCTGCTGTTGGTATATAGAGCTCTGATATTATCTACCATTTGTCCTCTGACGCCATACTTTACGAGTGTCTTCCAGAGTTTTGCATGGTTTACAATGTCAAAAGCCTTCTCCTGGTTTATAAAGAAAATATAATGCTTTGTTCTTTGTCTTTCTATGTAATGCAGGCAGGACTCAGTGTCGATAGCTGCTCTTACTTCTTCATTTCTCTGCCTGTCTCGTCTTGTGATGTTAAGGGTTTTGTGGAGACATTTCCTTTCGACAAAGTTACTGCACTTGGGCAATTTGAGACTTGACCTGCGTGATTTAACTGCTTACCGTGACTCGGTAAGCGACTGTGGTCTCCTGGGCGTTTCGGTTATCAACGAAAGCAGAGCATAATAGTTTTAAGAGTTATTATAAATCAATTCCATTTTTATTTCAGTTATTTTGTGCATTGATAGCTGAGAAAGGAATCGTATTTTATATAATAAAAAGAGTTATAGTTTATTGACTGAAAATAGAAAATACATCATGTAATTTAAAATAAAGTTTATATTCTTTCTAACTTTCATTGTCTTTATACATTCAGGCATTAAAATTAATGTCTGAAGCCATCAAAATGAGTTACAAAGGCATTTTTTCGTTAATGTGTTATGCCAACATTTTTATGATAAAGGTATCTCGTCATTATTTTCCAAGCTGAGGCAGTTATGAGGCTTGCATAGGAAATTTCTCGACACACCTTCAAGGTACCTCATTTCATTCTTGTTCTTATTTTTTTTCGCACAACACTCCTCCTGGCCCGTTCAAAAAAGTACCATAGAAGAAGGAAATGTCCAAGTATATTTAACAAACAAGAATGTAATGTTCCTGTTGTTGACATAATGTAATAACTTGATTCATTGACTCCTAATGTCTGATATTATCTTAAAAAAATATAATGATCTTGTTGTGTTCCCAAAGTTGTTTATACGTTGATTGCTAACTTTTCAGGCGCCAAACTCCTTGGGGTTGAATCTTCTGGTGCACAACTGTTTTTGGTCTCATGATATTGGTAAAAAAGACCATTCAAATTTATACTGGGTGTTTCTGTTTAATGTGTAAAGGCAAGAAAAGTTTGTAACAACGGGACCTTTGGAATCTAAAAAAAAGGGTGGGGGGGGGGGGGGTGTAGAAGGATATTGTCTCGCTTTCTTAAAAACTTAAAAAGTTGTCACTGAGCACATAGACCACACCTTTTTTCAACGACCATTAGGGGACCACACTGTGTGTGCTGTCCACTTCCTTTTGTACTTGTTCTTTTTCAAGGTATTTGTGTCCGACAGTTTTGTTTATCTAATGTCGTTGATTGCGTTTGACAATATGGCGTTGTTGTGCTGGTAAAGAACAGCAATATATGCATGTGCTATATTTATTGGCAATGGGCTCTTCCGGGAAATTACTGACAAGAGAAGAGAATTTATTGGCAATCAATGGTCCTCCTCCTTTGCACATATCATAAGGGGTGCCCACTAAGGCTGGATGGGGCCGATCGCTTGAAACTGAAAACAAACACGCTTGTTATCAAGGCGATCGAGTCGGGCGATGGGCCCGATCGGCTGATCCCATCCGTAGCGGGCACCCAGTATTACTACACTTCACATCCTGGTAACCAAATTACTAAATCCAGTCGAACCTGCCTTAACGGAAACCTGTGTAAAACGGAAACCTTGGAAACCTGTCGTAACGGAATCTCCCCGTTCCCCCCATGCTATATTCTTCATTAATTACCTTAATAAAACGGACGCCTGTCCAACGTGGAAACAGAGCGGAAAATCCGCTCCCTTCCAAGAGTTTTCTCTTCCTGAGACGGAAAATGTTTTGCCTGCTCAGCATTGGTTTGAAACAAAACTAGCAAGGTTGGTTCCGCCGGCTCTAACTCTAAACGGGCGAGGAAGGGGCGTAGGGGTGCAATTTGAGGGTAAATGTTACCCCGTCTATGTGATCCGTGAGCGATGTAGATGGTCAGTGTGGTGTCGGTTTGAAATCTTACGAGTGCCAGTGAAAGTGCCCGAGTGGCGCCCCAGCACGGAAACTTTCATTGGTAGCCAGAGGCCACAGGTGTGAGATTAGTTTGACCAATGCCTGATCGTACAGGCAGCCGAGAAGAGAGTTCCTTAAATCGTTGTTATATGGCAATGACGGGTGGCATTGGTTGACTGCGCTTATTAAACCGATGGGTGGGTATAAGGGTGGAAGCAAAGGGGATGCTCACTATGTCATTGTCAGACATGCAAATCCCCGCTCAACAACAAGCTCGATGCGCTTCACAATATATACAGTTACCATAGCAGACCTGAGAGCATTCTGAAACAACCTCAACTTCCTGGGAAGCATACAGTGCAAGCAGCCATTTATAGGCGCTAAGACACTAACATATTGTGTAGATGGGCACATAAAACACATGCCATAAAAACAAATAGAGAATGAGACGTATGAATAAAGAACACGAGAGAAGTCAATATAGTTCTGGTTATGTACTTATGCTTAACATTATGTGTTTAATTAAATATGAGGCAACGTGGTGAAATTAGGCGCTCGTCCAAATAATGAAAAGTCAAGAAACTGACTTTCCTCATATTAGGGAATTTTTATCAAATTTTAGTTTTTTGGCTCAGCACCTTTCATGCCCATTAAAGAAAGCATAGATTTTACTGAAAAATAAATGTTAATTAAAGACATAAAAGATGTAAATTTTCAGTTTCCACAGACCCTCAAGGTACGGAAAAACTCAAATTTGGCGGCCATTTTGTAGCAAATTTTAACTCTGAAACCATGCGACCCCCACCTTCTTCAATCGCCAATATCTTGATGTATATCTAAGTTATATGGCAAAGATACAAGACAAATTGACAGGCTTTTAGATTATACAAAGAACTCCATAATGTTCCACAAAATTGACGAGCGCATGATTCCACAGCTTCATGACACAAATGTTCAGCCCCAAATACTGACTTGTTAGCAGAGAAATATAACAATTCTTATCTCATGCAGAAATTGCTTACTTTATTCATTACAGTTTAGAACGACATTACGATCAAGACAGGTGTGAGTTTACACACTTAGTGATAGCTAAGCAAAAAAAAACCAAAAAAAAAAACGCAACCCCCCCCCAACATAATTATATTATCTCTTTTATTATTTTGATACTAATGTCCTTGTTTGTGAAATAATTGATATTATT